GGAGTACCCATAGAGTGTAAACAGCAGCTAAAATATACTGTTCACATTAATTACTCAGCGCCACATATTCCACACCTATTGTTAATATATTCAATCAGCTATGGCATGGAGCCCATTCGTATAATGAAAGACTATGGGAAAGACTTTGGCTCCATGGCAATTGAACTGTATGTGTGTGCTCTGAGCGCCATTCAGTAATAATGTGCGCTCAGATCTGAGCTATCTGGGGATATGTTGAATGTACCTGTTTTGTGCAATGGCTGCACAGTTATATGTTTTTATGTGTTTTATTGTCTTTTGCTGCCATGTGTTCAGTGGAGTTTTGCCTCTGTCCTTGGAGATAATTGGATTACTTCCCAATTATCTCCAGGATAGAAGACGCTATGGAACTGGTTTTGGGCAGAAAAGCCATGCTTCCTTTGGTCACAAAGGACTACGATCTATCTTTTGAACCACTGGACCAATTTGGATGATTTTGACATATGTTTGTATTTGGAGTATGCTGATTCTGAAAATGTAACTATGTGAATGTGATGCATAATTTTCAAGTTATGAATAATGTGGAAAAATTGTATTTCTCTGCTTGTGATAATTACATTACCCATTGTGTAAGGTAATTGTATCACAGGCAGAGGGGAGGATTTTGTGTGGGAGTGCCTGAGTGTATTGTATGTGTTTATTGGTTGTGTTCCAAAACCCTGTGGGTGGTACAAATGTGTATATAAGAACAATAAAGCCACAGCTCTGGCTGTTCACTGCTTGACCCTCAACACGGAGCTTTGTCTCGTTCTTGGGGGGGATTTATTGTATGCTGTTCCAGTTCAAATGCTAGGAGTGTAAACCTTTCGTATGGTTTTTCCTATTCGGCTGTTTACAGCATTCGCATGGTTCCAGTTTGGCTGTTTACAACATTCATATGCTTTTCCTGTTCGGCGGATTGGTGTTCTGCAGTAGCTGTGCCTGTGTCTCTGAAAGGGTAGATCTACTAAACGGCGGTTTAACCCTTTTATGCCCTGGGATGCCGTTACAATACAAAAGCTTTATGATGTGGTGTCCAGAATGAAGTGGAGGGATCACTTTACTTGTCCTTCCTGCTCCAATCTCATTTTCTTCTCCTTCATTTGACACAGTCTTCTCTCCTCCTTGACACCTTCTGCTCCTTTACCTTTCTGCTACTTTCTGCCTTCCTGCTTCTTGCAGACCCGTCCTGCTCCTTGCTGCTCATTTCTGTTCCTTATTCTACTTTACCTTTGTGCTCCTTCTGCCCCTTCCAGATAATCATTGACCCTTTCTGCTTCTTGATTTCCCTTCCTGCTCATTGCGGACCCTTTCTCATTCTTTCTGCTCCTTCCAGCTCCTTGCTGACCCTTTCTGTTCCATGTATACTCTTTCTGTTCCTTGTAGACCCTTTCTGTTCCTTCTCCTACTTTACCCTTGTGCTCCTTCTGATTCTTTCTGCCCCTTGCTGCCCCTTGCTGCCCCTTCCTGCTCCTTGCTGACCCATCCTGCCCCTTGCAGACCCCTCCTGCTCCTTGCTGCTCCTTCTACTTCACCTTCCTGCTCCTTGCAAACATTTCCTACCCCTTCCTGCTTCTTACTGCTGCTTCCTGCTACTTCATATTCCTTGCTGGCCCCTCCTGCCCCTTGCAGAACCTTTCAGCTCATTTCTGCTCATTCTACTTTGCCTTCCTGTAGGCTGTCTCCCCCCCATCCCTCACTTATCTGATCTGTAGGCTGCCCCCCATCCTTCACTTACCTGATTTGTAGGCTGCCCCCCACCTGATCTGTAGGCTGCCCCCATCCTTCACTTACCTGATCTGTAGGCTGCCCCCCATCCTTCACTTACCTGATCTGTAGACTGCCCCCCATCCCTCACTTACCTGATCTGTAGACTGCCCCCCATCCCTCACTTACCTGATCTGTAGACTGCCCACCCAATCCCTAACTTACCTGATTTGTAGGCTGCCTCCCCATCTCTCACTTACCTGATCTGTAGACTGCCCCCCATCCCTCACTTACCTGATCTGTAGACTGCCCACCCAATCCCTAACTTACCTGATTTGTAGGCTGCCTCCCCATCTCTCACTTACCTGATCTGTAGACTGCCCCCCATCCCTCACTTACCTGATCTGTAGTCTGCTCCCCCCCCATGTCTCACTTACCTGATCTGTAGGCTGTCTCTGCTGGCTGTACTCTGTGCTGCAGTCAGGAGAAGGAAGCAGGGATAAGCTGTAGCTTCCTTTCCCTGCCTTTCTCCATTCACAGCACCACCTACTGGCCGGCGCCGGTATTGCAGTGTATTCTCACACTGAAACAACAAATAGCAGCACAAGCTGGAAAATCCAGGGTGGGGCAAGTGTCCCCCATGGACGCCCATGCCCCTGTCTGTCAGCACTCCAAAGCCGGATTCCAGAAGCCGGATGCCGCAGGGGGGAGCTGAGATCGCAATGGTTAAAAAACGGTTTAACCCCTGAATGTTGGAAATGCGCCGAGGGCCACCTTGCACTATATTAAGATTAAGTTGATATAGTGCCTTATAATGCATAAACTGTTTCTTTAAGAGCATCATTTGTTAGATGAAAAACAAGAAGCAAATGTGCATGTTTTCTGTCCAACCTCAAGGAGCTTTAAAGGACCACTACAAGCACCCAGACCACTTCAGCTAAATGAAATGGTCTGGGTGCCAGGTCCCCCTAGTTTTACCCTGCAGCTGAAAACATAGCAATTTCAGAGAAACTGCTATGTTTAACATTGCAGGGCTAATCCAGCTCTAGTGGCGGTCTCCCTGAAAGCTACTAGAGGCCGCTTCATGATTCACAGTGTGAAAAATCGCATTGAACTCACGCAGAGTGATGCTTTCCTATGGGCGGTTTGAATGCGTCCGCGGCTCTGGATGCGCATGTGCTTTCGGCTTCACTTGGGTGGGCAGGGGAGGAGATGTCACCAGCACCAAGGGAGCCGGTGTTGGATTAAAGTAAGTGGCTGAAGGGGTTTTAACCCCTTCAGCCCAGCAGGAGGGGGACCCTGAGAGAAGACACACACACCTATTAACCCTATAGTGCCAGGAAAATGGGTTTGTTTTCCTGGCACTATAGTGCTCCTTTAATTCTAGAACGTATCATTCAGCATTTAGACACAAAAACGTGTCTGTCCTGTTAGCACACTAAAATAAAATAGCATTTGGGTAGTTTTTTTCGACCGTAGAACTTTTTTTATTATTTACATTTTTACTTTTTAATTCATTTGTATATCAAATAGATGTTTGCTTCTCCTGAAGATACTCCCTCCCCCCATAACCCTGTGATACAGTTAACATGGGGAGACAGTAAAGATGTGATTATATTTAACTTTATGTATATCCTTAACATGCTTCCTTTCCATAAAAACAATGCATTAGCATAAAGGAAAAAACAACATTTATATTTACAAAGAGAGCACTCTGTCTCACAGGCATTTGCTTGATTGTAACTATTTTAAAGGCTCATTAATCAGAAATAAGGAAAATCTTTGTTCCTTTAGGTGATCCTGCTGAGTAAAACACAATTGCTCCTAATGCATAGTGGATGCCTCAAGTCATTATGGAGATGCTTACCTATGTGTCCTGCTGTTAACTGATGTGGTTTCTTATCTAAAACAGAGGCTTCCTATTTACTGTTTGATGTTAATGTATCTAACGCTGAACTTTTGTTTTTATATGGTTTTGGAATAAACACAAAAGGTCAACATTTAATTTGACATCATATTATTAGGAACACAAGTATTATATATATATATAGTATTATAGATAATTTGTTTTAGTTCTGAACTGCAATTCTGTTCTTTCATTCTGGCCTCACCTTTGCGCCTCGTGTCCAGTCTGTTGCTAAATCTGTCGATTGCACTTCAAAAACATTGCCCACGTCCGCCCCTTTCTTATGCAAAATGCTGCCAAAGAGCTTGTTCATGCTCTAATAATTTCTCATATTTATTCTGTAGCTCTCTCCAAATTGGTCTCCACAGAAGCCGTACTACCCTGCTACAATTTGTAATAAATGCTGCCGGCAGGCTGATCTTTCTCTCTTGTTGCTCCTCAGACACCTCGCCCCTCTGTCGATGCTTACACTGGCTTCCTGTATCCTATAGTTGTCAATTCACAATACTGACTTTTACCTATAAAGCTCTGAACAACTCTAGTCCCTGTTATATTACTGACTCATATGTATGCCTCTTCTCGGTCTCTCCGCTCTGCCGTTGACCTTCTCCTGTCCACTGCTCACACCATTACTGCTAAATTCGTAACTTCTCGCAGACAGCTCTTTTCCATTGTAGCAACCTGTCTACCCCCATCAGACTCTTCCCTATACTCCAATCATTTAAAAAGTCCCTCATAACCCATCTTTTCAGAAAAGCTTATGGCCTCATAGAATAGCTTCTATTTCACAATTCAGTCTCTTGCTCTCTCCTAAAGGGCCAAACTCCATTCTCACCTCCAGTTCTGCTCCTTCCCACTATGTATGTTTGCTGTCCCCCTTGATGCCCTTCCTATTGAGTTTTTATACCAGACCACCTCTAGACTGTAAACTCATTTGAGCACGGTCCACATCAACCTGTCGTCCCTGTAACATTTTGTCATTGTCCCCCTTTTATAATATTGTAAAGCGGTGCGGAATAGGTTTGTGCTATATAAATACCATTAATAAAAATAATTCTAACTCAGGGCAATAGGGTGGCTGGCCAAAATTCTGATTTCTGAACATGGCAGGTCCTTGAACAAGTGACTCACAAACATGGTTTTTTTTTTATGATTTGGTACCGCTCTTGACACCAGATAAAAAGAGGAATGTAATGAAGAAGAGACTGTATTTGTTTTTTTATTTGGTGGGCATGAATAAGCAGTTTAGTTTGACATGATGGACAAGAGGTGTGCCCAATCATGTAGACTGTGTCTCCTGTCCAATCAAGAGGAGGAAAACAAAAGCTAATTGATAGTTCGGAAACAGCCAGTATACAGTGGCATACCTACCACAGTTGCAGAGGTCGCAGCTGCGACCAGGCCCCTCACTCCAGGGGGCCCGGCCGCAGCTATGACCCCTGCAACCGTGGGCAGCAGGTGCACAGCCTCACTGGCCCAGGTCCACGGGTGTCTGGAATGAGGGGAGAGCTGTGCTGCTCCCCTCCTGCCTGTGTGTAGCGTGGCCTAGTGGTCTGTCAGGAAGTGCTCACTAAGAAAGCACTTCCTGTCAGACCGGGATGCCTCCCCCCCATTACCCCTGTTATGAGGGGGCCCAAGAGGTGGCTTGCTGGCTGCCTAATGGACCCCCCCGACGAGCGGCTGTGTCCCGGCAGAGACGGCAAGGGAGCTGTGTTCTCCCTGCTCTGCTCCCTCACACGCCGTTTGCTGATGCCGGGAGCTGGAATACGATGTCATATTACGGCTCCCGGCATCAGTAGACAGCTCGTGTGGCACAAGGAAGCAGAGCAGGGAGAACACAGCTCCCTCGCCATCTCTGCCGGGACACAGCCGCCCGCCACAATGAAGCCCCACTGGACCCCAGGGACAGATCCACCCCAGCTCTCCAGGTAGGAAGGCTGGGTGGAAATTTTTAAATTAAAAAAAAATATTAATAATTTGTATGTGTCTGTGAGTGTATGTGTGTGTGTCTGAGTGTATGTGTGTCTGTGAGTGTATGTGTGTCTGTCTGAATGTTTGTGTGTGTGTCTGTGAGAGTGTGTCTGTGTGCCTATGTGTCTGTGAGTGTATGTGTGTATATATCTGTATGGGTGTGTCTGTTAGTGCATGTGTGTTTCTGTATGTATGTGTGTGTGTATGTCTGTATGTGTTTTTGTCTCTACATGTCTGTGTGTGTGTATGAATGTGTGTGTCTCTATGTATGTGTATCTATACTTCCAAGCAGGATTCTTACAGATACTTTGACCACAGCTATTGAGGGAGATAGATTATCAGTAATACTGTATGTTTAATTATTGCTGTTCCTGTGTGGGAGTGGGAGACAGACTAGGTCATTGAGTCTAGTGTGAAACAAGATTTGGCTTATTTGAGATTTTTTATTTTTTTTGCATTGGGACATTTTATGGTCAGTCCACATTAAGTTAGAGTTTCCTGTGCTAGCAGCAAAAAATTCCTGATAGATAGCCATGTCGACCCCCTGTAGAGTGTTTAGCTTATGAATCAGCCTATAATACCTTGAAAAAACAAGCAACAGGATACTTCATTGGAATTGATCTTCTTGGTTTTTAAATTTTTAAATGGCACATTGTATAGATTCACAACATCAGTGCAAATTGCACCAATTAGCATTTGCATTGCCCTTTGTAAAAGGACCTATTGTCTCCCACTGTCCCTTTGGTACAATAGCAGAATTTCGGCAATCCTCCTTTATAATGTCTTGTCAAACCCCTTTCTCTTGTTCTTTTAAGAGATTCCAATCTAATTCTTGAAAACAGTGGGGAGTATTACTTTGATAAATATGGTGAAATTCCAGTTTCATGCACTTTTTGCAAGTAGAGGATTTTGATCTAACCAAATAATAGAATTATAGTGCGTAGAAGAAAGAACAACTGTAAAATAAATCCCTTACACATACAAAAACATTACAAAGAAAGATTCATAAACACTTGCAAATATTATACATTTGTTTAACTAGCACTAAACATGGCAAGTTCTTTTTAAAATTATTTTAGAATTAGTGCATCCTGGAATAAATATTGAGAAAGCATTATTATGCTTTTTGGGTGTCTAGACATTATCAATGCAGTGCTTTATTGAGAAGAATAAAAGTTCCATTCCAATGTGATCTTATTCTAAGGAAGAAAATCATTCATCTGTACTGTCGATGTGATGGCAAAAGAGGGCATGATATTCAGAGTAGTTAAGTATTTACAGTGTCAACGTTAGCAATTTAACAATGTAATGGAAACAATAAAACTCAAATGTTTAATTTAAAAAAATAAAACAAATAGAAACTATGAATATAAACATGTGATTAAAGATAAAAATAATATCATTTTTAGAAAATGCAGCATGTTTGACCTATTAACCAATCACAATGTAGAATTAATACACTTTTGGAAAATCTTCTCCAGATTCTCCAGTTGAATCCTGCTGATTCTGTTGTAATTGTTGGAATTAGACACTATATCTACCAAGGAGGATTTGTATACCCTCTCGCCCAAAACATATATACAGAGATGGTAGGTGCTCATCAGGACCTAGATTTTGGGCATCCAATAGACCTTCTTTAATTAGGGTAAAGTGCACAGGGGAAATGTAGGCCTTTTACTACATATTTCCCCCTTTATTAACACTATTATGGCCTCTGCTTTCTTGGTTACTAGTTTATCTGTTAATGAGTAAATATTATCCTCTCTGTTTCCAATTATGGGCATTGTACTTTGCTGTTTGTTATACACTTGATGGCCAATCACGTACACTGTACATCAGCAATCCAAAGATTATTATTATTATTATTGGTATTTATATAGCGACAGCTTATTCCGCAGCGCTTTACAAAAAAAGGGAAATTTACCAAAGGAGACAATAAAAAAATGTAACAGGAACAATAGGTAATTGAGGACCCTGCTCACACGAGCTTACAGTCTAGAGGAGGTGGGGTATAAAAACACAATAGGAAGGGTATTGAGAAAGACAGAAAATAGACGTGGGAAAGTTGCAGAACTGGAGGTGAGAGTGGAGCGTGGTCCTATAGGAAAGAGCGAAAGGAAGGTTTGAGAGATAGAAGTTACTCTTGGAGGCCATAAGCATTCCTGAAAAGATGGGTTTTGAGGGACTTCTTAAAAGATTGATGACTAGGGGTGAGTCTGGAAGTAAGTAGGCATGTTGTCCCAAAGGAAAGTAGCCGCCGTGAGAAGTCTTGCAGGTGTGAATTTGCAGTAAGGGTGCTAGCAGCAGACACCAGTAGAGTGGAGAGACCGAGAGGAGGCATACCTATGAATCGTAGAAGAAATGTCAGAGGGGCTAGAGTTAGTTAGAGCTCTATAGGTAAGGGTTAGTATTTTAAATTGACACCTGTAAGTTACAGGAAGCCAGTGTAAGGATTGACAGAGGAGTGAGGTGTGAGAGGAACGACAGGAGAGAAAGATTGGCCTGGCAGCAGCTTTCACCACAGATTATAGGAGGGCAATACAAGAATACGGCTTCTGGGGAGACCAATTAGGAGAGAATTACAGTAATCGATGCGAGAGATTACTAGAGCATGAACAGGTTTCTTGGCAGCATCTTGAGTAAGAAAGGAGCGCATGCAGGCAATGCTTTTAAGCTGGAATCGACAGGTTTTAGCAACAGACTGGACATGAGGCGCAAAGGTGAAGCCAGGATCAAAAGTGACACCAAGACAGCAAGCTTGAAAGGATGGGGTGAGGCAGGTACAGTCAACCTGGAGGGAGAGTGAAGGAGGAGACTCAGTGTTATAAGGAGGAAAATTAAGAAACTCAGTTTAAGAGAGATTGAGTTTCAGGAAGTGGGAGGACATCCAATCAGAGATAGAAGAAAGGCAATTGGTGACACATTGTAGGACAGCAGGGGAGAGGTCAGGAGAGGAGAGATATATCTGGGTGTCATCAGCATACAGGTGGTAGTGGAATCCAAATGAATTAATGAGTTTGCCAAGAGAGGCAGTATAGAGAAAGAACAAAAAGGGACCAAAAACTGAATCTTGAGGGACTCCGACTGAGACAGGATGAGGAGAAGAGTTGCTGTTGGAAAAAGAGACACTAAAGGAGCGTTGGGAAAGATAGGAGGAGAACCATGAGAGGGACCAATAGATTGAAGGGTTTGGGGAAGGAGGCCATGATCAACAGTGTCAAAGGCAGCAGAGAGGTCAAGAAGAATTAGTATGGAGTAGTATCCTTTGGATTTGGCTGTGATTAGGTCATTTGTAACTTTAATAAGAGCAGTCTCAGTATAGTGGAGCGGGCAAAAGCCAGATTGAAGAGGATCGAGGAGAGAGTTGGAATTTAGGAAAGGAGTCATACGAGTACAGACAAGTCTTTTTAGAAGCTTTGAGGAAAAAGGAAGCAGGGATATAGGATCATAGTTGCAAGTGGAATGGGTCTAGGTATTGCATTTTTAGGATGGGTATGACAGTAGCATGCTTAAGGGCAGCAGGGACAACACCAGATGAAAGAGAGCAGTTTAGGATGTGTGTTAAGGATGGCACAAGACAAGGGGTGAGTGCATGATCCAGTACTTTCCCACCTCATCAGAGCTGACAGGTGGTGGTATGAAAGGAGAGGAAAAGTGCAGCCCCCTCCTGTTCAGTAGCTGGAGGGAAGTCTTGGAGGGTAGGGATGGTATGGTCCAAGTGAGGTTGAGATAGAAAGGGGAAAAGGGGGGAGAATTCATTTCTTAACTGTTTAATTTTGTCAGTAAAGCAACATGCAAAGCTATCAGCTGAAAGATTAGCTTGCAGGGTGGCCAGAGCAGGGCGAAAAAGAGAGGTAAAAGTATTAAAGAGATGCCTAGGATTGCAGTAGCATGAACGAACGAAAAAAGAAAAGTAGGACTGTTTAGCAAGGGTGAGGGCTGCACTGTAAAAGCGCAAGACAAATCTATAGTGTAGAAAGTCTGACAAGATGCAAGACTTCCTCTAGCAGCGTTCAGCCGAACGGGATCATCTCTGTAGGTAGGGGGTTGACTTAGTGTGCCACGGTTGGATGCGTGCCCTCCTTGAGGAGCATGCTTGTAGTGGGTTTGCAGTTTCTAGGGCAGAGGTGAGTGTAGGATTATAAGAGGATATAGCCAAAGAGGGACAGGAGAAGGTAGGGATGGATGAGAGTTTGGAATGGAGATCAGCTGAGAGTTGCTGGAGGTCAAGAGAATTCAGATTTCTCCTGGTTTGAGGCGGGTTAGGTTGAGAACATTGGGTGTGGGAGCACTCGAGAACAAATGATAGGAGGTGGTGTTCTGATATAGGAAATGGGGTATTACAGAGATTGGAGACTGAGCAAGCAGTTGAAAAAAATAAGATCTAGGGTATTGCCAGATACATGTGTGGGAGAATTAGCCCATTGTGGTAGCTTCTTAACTGTCACAATTTCAGCGGCACAGTCACAATTTTTGGGTCCTGT